TGGTTACCAGGTATACAGATGTGATAGATCGGCAATGACTAGCACATGCAAGACGCAGGGTGGTGTCTTAATTGCTGTCAAAAATTCCTTATCTTCTAGAGCTTTAATATCTCCTATTGTAAGTGTTGAGCATTTATTTATCTCAGTCACAGTAGACTCACAAAAAATCCTAGTGGCTATTGCTTACATTCCAGGTGTATCTACTTATAGCACTTATGATAACTTTTGTTTTTCTCTTATACACTTAATTGACAACAATACCTTCAGTGACATCTTTATTTGGGGAGATTTCAACCTTCCCAATATAAAATGGGAAAAAACGGCTGCTAATTCAGTACCCACTGGACCTCTATCAAGAGAAGTGACAGCGGTGGCTGACTGTGTTGCCTATTTGGGGCTATTCCAATCAATTGATGTGCCTAATATCTATGGAAACTTTCTTGACCTACTATTTTGCAATCAACCAGATATCAAGGTTTTTGTATGTGATAATCCGCTTCTAAGACTGGATATACCACATCCAGCTTTTGAATGTGCCTGTAATGTAACTGAAAATCTATCTAATCTTTCTTGTGATTATTTTTACTTTAATTTTAAGAACGCTGATTATGGTGAGCTGAATTTTTGTCTTTCTTGTATTGACTGGAGTTTCATTTCTGAGTGTACTGACATCAATGTGGCAGTATCGCAATTTTATGACATTATCTATAACATCATTGAATCATTTACGCCTCTTTCAAGGTTCAAAAGTTCAAAATTTCCAAAATGGATGTTTGCAGATCTTAAATATTTGATAATACGAAAGAAGGAGGCTCACAAAAAATATAAAGCCTCACAGTCACAAGATGATTATAATTATTTTTCTAATTTAAGAAATCAATGTCGTTATCTTTCCCAGTCTTCTTACAGGAATTACATTCAAAGTTTGGAAAACCAGTTACATGACAAACGAAAATTTTGGAATTATATGAATTCAAAAAAAGGCAATGCAGAATACCCAAAGTGCATGTTCTTTAATGGGCAGGAAACTGATGGTGCACAGGATATTGCAGAATTGTTTAAGGAAAATTTTTCCTCGGTATACACACAATTTGATACTTCTTTGTCAGATTTTAGCTTTATTAGTGAAAAGTTTGTAAACTTAAATTGTTTAAAGTTGTCAATTATTGATGTTTTTAATGAAATTAATGTTTTAAAGGAAAATTTGGGAATGGGTCCTGATGGAATTCCAGTACTCTTCTTGAAAAATTGTAAATATGTCTTATCAGAATTTTTGTGTAATATTTTTAACTTATCACTTGAAACTGAAGTTTTCCCTGAGGTTTGGAAGAAATCATATGTCACACCTGTTTTTAAGGATGGGAATAGAGCAGATGTTAAAAACTACCGCCCTATTTGTAAGATCTCTTTAATGGAAAAAATATTTGAGTCATTGGTAGCTGGTAAAATAACACCTCTTTTTAGAAATTTCATTATTAAGGAACAACATGGATACACTAAGGGGAGGTCCACTGTGTCAAATCTTTTGGTGTATGAGCAAGTCCTGTTGGGTGCATTCGAAAATGGGTGCCAAGTGGATACCATCTATACTGACTTCTCGAAGGCATTTGACAGGGTGGATCAGAATATCCTGCTGGCAAAGTTGAGGGCATTTTTGGGCAGTGGCTTGAAAGTAATTTGAAGGGCAGACGGCAGTCTATTAAAATAAAAAACTATATATCGTCAGAAATCTTGATGACGTCTGGTGTTCTTCAGGGAGGACATCTGTCAACCTTCTTCTTCAATGTTTTTGTGAATGATATTAAGACAGTCCTTGATGACTGTCTGTTTCTTGCTTTTGCGGATGATTTCAAATTATTCAAAATTATTGATGATCATGGTGACTGTCAGTCTCTGCAAAATCAGATTAACATTTTCTCCGATTGGTGCCAAAATAATAACTTGAGCCTAAATATTGCTAAGTGTAATGTTGTCACTTTCTGCAGGTTGAAGCAGCCAATATTATTTGACTACTTTATTGATTCTGTAGGGCTGGAAAGAAAGAATCTAGTGAAAGATCTAGGAGTGTGGCTAGAGAGTGAACTTACTTTTTCTTATCACATTAATAATGTGACCAACAGAACTATGAAGTTGTTGGGATTTGTTTTTCGGTCGTTGAAGGAGGTTGAAAATATTTTTGTTTTGAGGAATGTTTTCTGTGCGTTGGTTAGATCTGCTCTGGAATATACCAGCTCGGTTTGGCAACCCTGTTATAGGGTACATAAAGAAAGTTTAGAGAGGGTGCAAACTAAATTTTTGAAAAGGTTGGGTATAAAGCTAGGCATTCCGTATGAGGATATTGACTGTGGTGACATGTCGAGACTCCTGAATCTTTCACCTCTAGAAAAACGTAGACAATTATGTGATGTATCCATCCTTTTTAAACTTATGAACAATTCAATTGACGCGCCAGATCTTCTTGCAGAGATTGGCTTACATGTGCCAGAAGTAGAGATTTGTTCAACATTGAATTTCATAGAACAAACTATGGTATAGATTTTGGAAAACTTTGGAAGCTCATAACTTTTTTTCTATTAAAGATAGAAAGCTGAAATTTTCAGCTATTCTTATCCCAGTAGAGAACCACTATCCCTCAAAATTTCAGTTCATTTGGACTTATAGTTTCAAAAATAAAATCGTGTTAAGCAATTTGGGGTGATTTATCAATTTTTCTGAGTGCCTTTTTTCATAGAATCTGGTTCCAATCTCGAAATAATTTAGTGTATGGAGTTTGGGAGATCCCAAAGGACCATTAGAATACAAAATTTCAACAACAAAAAAATTGAAATGTCATCGTTCTAGTAAGAAAGCAGGGCTGGAACTCTGTAATGGATAGAGATCGTTATCCCTATTACTATGGCACTTGCTGTCTTCTTCTGTCTTGTCGAAATCAATAGAGAGGAAACGTCAATAGAGATAGAGAAAATATCTCTATTGGTTACAGAGTCCCAGCCCAGGTACCTTATGATTTAGATTTTGGAAAACTTTGAAAGGTCATAACTTTTTTTCTATTGAAGATAGATAGCTGAAATTTTCAGCTTTCAGCTATTCTTATCCCAGTAGAGAACCACTATCCCTCAAAATTTCAGTTCATTTGGACTTATAGTTCCAGAAATAAAATCGTGTTAAGCAATTTGGGGTGATTTATCAATTTTTCAATTTTTCTGAGTGCATTTTTTCATAGAATCTGGCTCCAATCTCGGAATAATTTAGTGTATGGTGTTTGGAGGATCCCAAAGAACCGTTAGAACACAAAATCTTGACAAAAAAAAAAATTGAAATTTCATCGTTTTAGTAAAAAGATGATTTAGATTACCTATGGTAAACCTTGAAAGGTCATAACTTTTTTTCTATAATACATTGTATATATTTGTATATCAAGGAGTAATTTTTCAGAGGAAATTCAAATAGTTCATCTGAAAGCATATGAAAATTCTCTACAAATCCGGAAAGTTTCAGCAATTTACGATTTTGTTTCAAAAAGTTATAGAGGATCAAAGATTATCAGGTAGAATATTGAAAAATCTTAAGTTGTTCAGGCTTTCAAATTTAGAGTCTTAGAACATGGTAAAATGTTTAAATTTCCAGGTATTATAGAGAATTAAAGATTTCAAGAGGGGTTACTAAGAATATTGGAATAATAGTCTCTTTGTCAGGAGTCTCTCTTTGAAATCAATTTTCAGACATTTTACTATTTGAAAATGCACGTTTCATCAATTCCAGGCACTTGAAAATCGATTCCAAACACATAAAAACTGTTTCCGCTCATCTCTAAAGAGAATATCCATAATTCAAACTTCTTCAACTCGAATCTGATGATAAGTTTTCAACTTTAAATACATGTTATGTGTCACTTTTCAATTTCTAAAATCGATTTTGATGGATTCATAATGCAACATCAAACAAATTTATCTTGAAACCGTTTAAAGACGATAATAAGATTGAAATATTTGTTTAGGATATCGATGAATAATTTGTTTTTGTTCACAAAATTTTGAAACCTCCGCCTTGAATTTCGTCTACCTGTATCGAATTTCTTCCTTTGAAAGGTTTCCTTTTTTCTTTGGGTAGAGGGTACAAGTTTACCTGCTGCAACCAGCTTTTGTATATGGACAAAAACCATCATGCTCGTATTATATAAAAATTTAATGCTTGAACGCGCTAGAAACAACAAAATCGTGATGGCTTTTACTTTTTTTTTATGCAATTAATAACTGACCTGGTTATGATCATGTTTATTATTTAAAAAAAATTGGATTATTATTGTCTGCGTTCAAGGTTTGCTGCAATTACTTTGATCGTTGGATAAAAGGTGAATTTATTATATGCGACATTGTGACGTTAAAGGCCAGTTTATGTAATTATTGTTTGTTCAAGTGTACAAATCCAAAACTGGATCCTTATCCAGAAATCAGTTTATAGGCACGAACGACAAATTTACAGTCCAATGAAAAACCTTTTTCGGTGCGGCTTTATAATCAAAGCTTTACCCATTAAGTTGAGCTTATTACGACGGAATTTGATTGATGAAGTTGTGCCATGTTTGGCTTTTTGAAGTCCTTTTGTTGTTTGATTATTAGACTTTGTATTTGATCATGGACAATATTTGATTGTCTCATAACTAAGAGGGTTAAACCAAAGAATATTTATTATTTGTCTTTCATGTAATTTAGTTTATCAATTTTATAATTTTTTCAATAAATTTTTTTACGTCATTATTACACATAGTTTCCTTTGAACGCATTGGTGTACCTACATCCAACTCCTTCTCTTCTTCAAAAAATATTGTTAAATCAAAATTTTTGGCTTCACCTGCTCGCTCCCCTATTCATAGGCTTTTAATGCTAGAAATTAAGGTATCTCATGTCATGCGTAATTCCTATACCTATACATAGGTATGTAAATATGTACTTAGGTACCTACTTGTACAAGTAAAAAATTTAAAAAAATTTAATTCTTACCTGTTATTAATGCGAAAAGTGTTATACTCCAAAATTGACATTCCATTGCACCAGCCATTTCCAAAAATAAAAAAAATGTTCTTTGGGCTTAAATTGTTCCAAAAGAAAATTTAAAAATCAAAATCCATTATAAGTATACTTCACACATCCATGTTTCTAACAATTGTTGAAATACATATAAACAAACAAAACTAAAACATTGTCACACATAAACGCACAAAAAAAAAAATAATAATTCACAAAGTCTTTTGATAAATTCCGAAATTTTCAATCGGATTGACTTTTTGCGCGTTCAAGTTTCGGAAAATCGTCGGCAAATTTCCCGCGGGCTTTTCTCGTCAGATTCGTAGTGCACGGAAGGAAAGTCGAACGTCGAATAAACGCGGTAACTTTTCATCCGGCGACCGTTATGGCTGCGCCAGCGACACTCGCCGGCGAAGAACTAAAGCTCCATGGGTCTATAGTCGGTCCATTATGGGACAGCGGTTACCATTTATGTTTTTACTTTTGCAGGAAATAAAAACTATTTAAACATCAATAAAACTTAATAAAAACTCGATACAATCAATATAAATTTTGAGTGATTATTGACTATTGATTAATTGAACAATCAATTTTTTCAATAAACCTTTTAAATGTTTGTTGTTCGATTCGTTAAACACACTATAGACCCATTGGTGAGGTAAGAAAAGGGACACAGAAGGTAAATTTTGTGTTTTCGGGACATAGAGAGGTGCGATGTCTAGGTCAGAGAAGTCGGTATAAGATAAAACGAGCAATAGATAAGAAAATCGCACTTCACTTTATGCAGCTGGATCTGATATTGATTCAAACTAACAAATTTTATAGTTCCATTGCAATAAAGCGCTACACTATACAGCTATATAAATCGCTCTATCTATAGGCTAAAATATTTTGTGCATTTGATGATAAATTATTGCATTTTTATCTACGCCACTGATTAACCGCTATTTATTTATATAGTGATTATTACCGCACCGGGTTCATTCCATGTGCCTTTTAAAGGGACCAGTCTACCGGCCGGACTTGGGTACTGCAGGTTTTTTTTCTTCTATGGTAAAGCCCACGATTTTCTTAAGCAAATGGTGAAGAATTGCACGGATTATGGGTTCGTAATAACGTGTGAAACGATTTTTCTGTTTTAATTGAAAACAAATTGCAATAACTAATAATGTCATTATAAACTAAATAATCGTTACTTCACAGCAAATTTTCAAGGGGATTGGAAAAGTTGATATTTTCCAGAAAGCCTATCATTTTCCGTATAGAATATAATCACTCTCGTGTATTGTCGCTCCCTTTTTTTATTGGTTTTTTAATTTTTTTTTTTCTGTTTATTTTTATATTTATCTTACTTCTATCCACTCCGCTTTATCCCCAGTTTCTTTTTTTTACATCAATTCTTTCTATCTTTTTTCCTTCGTTATTTCTTTTAGCTTTTCTCCCAGTTTTTTCGCCTTCGGCTTTGTTTCCCGCTTTAGCTTTTGCTCCTTTTGTTTCCAGTCGCGCAAAATAACCTTTTTACTTTTTCATTAATATACTCTTGAATTTTCTATAAAAATTTCATTTAATTAGGGCACTTATGGCCCTTATTGGTTAAAAATATGAAAAAATTTGTTTCAAATTGAGTTTTAATTTTTTTTTTCTGAAGTCGATAGGGTTCCACATTCATTTTTTGAGAGGTAATTATTACTTCATCAACATTGTGTCAATTTTTCTTTATTATCGGTACGGTTTTAGGGCACTTATGGCCCCTATGACTTGAAAATATGTTATATAGTAACTTTTTTTCTATTAAAGATATAAAGCTGAAATTTTCAGCGATTCTTATTCCAGTAGAGGACTACAATCCCTGAAAATTTCAACTCATTTGGACTTATAGTTCCTGAGATAAAATCGTGTTAAGCAATTTGGAGTGATTTATCAATTTTTCAATTTTTCTGAGTGCCTTTTTTCATAGAATCTGGTTCCAATCTCGAAATAATTTAGTGTATGCAGTTTGGGGGATCCCAAAGGACCATTAAAATACAAAATTTCAACAAAAAATAAATTGAAATTTAATCGTTTTAGTAAGAAGGTAGCTACCTTATGATTTAGATTTTGGAAAACTTTGGAAAGTCATAACTTTTTTTCTATTAAAGACATAAAGCTGAAATTTTCAGCGATTCTTATTCCAGTAGAGGACTACAATCCCTGAAAATTTCAACTCATTAGGACTTATAGTTTCTGAGATAAAATCGTGTTAAGCAATTTGGGGTGATTAATCAATTTTTCAATTTTTCTGAGTGCCTTTTTTCATAGATTTCGGCTTCAAATCTGAGAATAATTTAGTGTATGGAGTTTGGGGGATCCCAAATGCCGATTAGGACACAAAATCTCAACAAAAAAAAAATTGAAATTTCATGGTTTTAGTAAGAAGGTACCTACCTTATGATTTAGATTTTGGAAAACTTTGGAAAGTCATAACTTTTTTTCTATTAAAGACATAAAGCTGAAATTTTCAGCGATTCTTATTCCAGTAGAGGACTACAATCCCTGAAAATTTCAACTCATTAGGACTTATAGTTTCTGAGATAAAATCGTGTTAAGCAATTTGGGGTGATTTATCAATTTTTCAATTTTTCTGAGTGCCTTTTTTCATAGATTTCGGCTTCAAATCTGAGAATAATTTAGTGTATGGAGTTTGGGGGATCCCAAATGCCGATTAGGACACAAAATCTCAACAACAAAAAAAATTGAAATTTCATGGTTTTAGTAAGAAGGTACCTACCTTATGATTTAGATTTTGGAAAACTTTGGAAAGTCATAACTTTTTTTCTATTAAAGACATAAAGCTGAAATTTTCAGCGATTCTTATTCCAGTAGAGGACTACAATCCCTGAAAATTTCAACTCATTAGGACTTATAGTTTCTGAGATAAAATCGTGTTAAGCAATTTGGGGTGATTTATCAATTTTTCAATTTTTCTGAATGCCTTTTTTCATAGATTTCGGCTTCAAATCTGAGAATAATTTAGTGTATGGAGTTTGGGGGATCCCAAATGCCGATTAGGACACAAAATCTCAACAACAAAAAAAATTGAAATTTCATGGTTTTAGTAAGAAGGTACCTACCTTATGATTTAGATTTTGGAAAACTTTGGAAAGTCATAACTTTTTTTCTATTAAAGACATAAAGCTGAAATTTTCAGCGATTCTTATTCCAGTAGAGGACTACAATCCCTGAAAATTTCAACTCATTAGGACTTATAGTTTCTGAGATAAAATCGTGTTAAGCAATTTGGGGTGATTTATCAATTTTTCAATTTTTCTGAGTGCCTTTTTTCATAGATTTCGGCTTCAAATCTGAGAATAATTTAGTGTATGGAGTTTGGGGGATCCCAAATGCCGATTAGGACACAAAATCTCAACAAAAAAAAAATTGAAATTTCATGGTTTTAGTAAGAAGGTACCTACCTTATGATTTAGATTTTGGAAAACTTTGGAAAGTCATAACTTTTTTTCTATTAAAGACATAAAGCTGAAATTTTCAGCGATTCTTATTCCAGTAGAGGACTACAATCCCTGAAAATTTCAACTCATTAGGACTTATAGTTTCTGAGATAAAATCGTGTTAAGCAATTTGGGGTGATTTATCAATTTTTCAATTTTTCTGAGTGCCTTTTTTCATAGATTTCGGCTTCAAATCTGAGAATAATTTAGTGTATGGAGTTTGGGGGATCCCAAATGCCGATTAGGACACAAAATCTCAACAAAAAAAAAATTGAAATTTCATGGTTTTAGTAAGAAGGTACCTACCTTATGATTTAGATTTTGGAAAACTTTGGAAAGTCATAACTTTTTTTCTATTAAAGACATAAAGCTGAAATTTTCAGCGATTCTTATTCCAGTAGAGGACTACAATCCCTGAAAATTTCAACTCATTAGGACTTATAGTTTCTGAGATAAAATCGTGTTAAGCAATTTGGGGTGATTTATCAATTTTTCAATTTTTCTGAGTGCCTTTTTTCATAGATTTCGGCTTCAAATCTGAGAATAATTTAGTGTATGGAGTTTGGGGGATCCCAAATGCCGATAAGGACACAAAATCTCAACAAAAAAAAAATTGAAATTTCATGGTTTTAGTAAGAAGGTACCTACCTTATGATTTAGATTTTGGAAAACTTTGGAAAGTCATAACTTTTTTTCTATTAAAGACATAAAGCTGAAATTTTCAGCGATTCTTACTCCAGTAGAGGACTACAATCCCTGAAAATTTCAACTCATTTGGACTTATAGTTCCTGAGATAAAATCGTGTTAAGCAATTTGGAGTGATTTATCAATTTTTCAATTTTTCTGAGTGCCTTTTTTCATAGAATCTGGTTCCAATCTCGAAATAATTTAGTGTATGCAGTTTGGGGGATCCCAAAGGACCATTAAAATACAAAATTTCAACAAAAAATAAATTGAAATTTAATCGTTTTAGTAAGAAGGTAGCTACCTTATGATTTAGATTTTGGAAAACTTTGGAAAGTCATAACTTTTTTTCTATTAAAGACATAAAGCTGAAATTTTCAGCGATTCTTATTCCAGTAGAGGACTACAATCCCTGAAAATTTCAACTCATTAGGACTTATAGTTTCTGAGATAAAATCGTGTTAAGCAATTTGGGGTGATTAATCAATTTTTCAATTTTTCTGAGTGCCTTTTTTCATAGATTTCGGCTTCAAATCTGAGAATAATTTAGTGTATGGAGTTTGGGGGATCCCAAATGCCGATTAGGACACAAAATCTCAACAAAAAAAAAATTGAAATTTCATGGTTTTAGTAAGAAGGTACCTACCTTATGATTTAGATTTTGGAAAACTTTGGAAAGTCATAACTTTTTTTCTATTAAAGACATAAAGCTGAAATTTTCAGCGATTCTTATTCCAGTAGAGGACTACAATCCCTGAAAATTTCAACTCATTAGGACTTATAGTTTCTGAGATAAAATCGTGTTAAGCAATTTGGGGTGATTTATCAATTTTTCAATTTTTCTGAGTGCCTTTTTTCATAGATTTCGGCTTCAAATCTGAGAATAATTTAGTGTATGGAGTTTGGGGGATCCCAAATGCCGATTAGGACACAAAATCTCAACAACAAAAAAAATTGAAATTTCATGGTTTTAGTAAGAAGGTACCTACCTTATGATTTAGATTTTGGAAAACTTTGGAAAGTCATAACTTTTTTTCTATTAAAGACATAAAGCTGAAATTTTCAGCGATTCTTATTCCAGTAGAGGACTACAATCCCTGAAAATTTCAACTCATTAGGACTTATAGTTTCTGAGATAAAATCGTGTTAAGCAATTTGGGGTGATTTATCAATTTTTCAATTTTTCTGAATGCCTTTTTTCATAGATTTCGGCTTCAAATCTGAGA